AAGAGGTTCTACCTCTATTCATGCGATCTCTACCCCTTCCCTTCGCCCGGGAAGGGGATTGCGAGCCGCGGGCCAGCTGGTAAACGCTGTGCTCCGCGGATCTGACACCTTCTCAGGAGGACGGCTACAAAGTAGCCGCCATCTCCACCGCTTTAACCACCGGAAGTCAAAAAGTGAGGAAACTATTATCAATCAAATATTGCTGAACTATAATAGTAAGCAATGCTGAAAGGACTATTAGAAAATCACATGTTCTGATCAGCATTAGTTTTGTGAGAGTAGGAGCATTTATAGGCACTCTTGAAGGCAAATAGAATGCTACTTTGTTGTGATAATGATATTTCTTATAAAGTTATTTCTTTATATTTTCAAATTTGCTGCTTTTTATAAGTACTGTGTTAAAGACACCTAAGGGAAGTTAGAAGAACAGATGTAATTAATCACTGATATTTTTTCCATTCCAAAAAGAAATCTTAATTGGCTAAAGAGGTTCTAATGCTTTTCTGTTAGCATGGGGGGAAAAGGAAATTTTATTCACATATAGTTGTCATGACTTTTGAAGTAAACACTCTCAGTTTCTTATTAAACGATTATTAAATGGATTGTCATTTTGTTTTAATTATCTCTAGATCAAAGAATGCTTATTAACCTTATATCTGATTATAGGATACATTGACCTCAGAGCTAGCCAGTTGCATTTTAGTGTACAATGCAAATCTTGGCAATATATACAGAATATACTTTAGAATATTATGCCAATCCAGAGCACAAGATTAAGAAAACCATCATTCAATTTCCTATGAGTAAACCATGTGAACACAACCTCTTTAAAGCAATTGATTACAGTTTAGTCCTACGAAACAAATTGATACTCTGTAAATAAAAAAATACAGATCCTTTGATTTATAGCTGGATGGTAGACTTTATTAAGCATGTATCAGTAGTATGTTATCCTGTGTTGTAAAAATATTTTTTACTGAAAAAATACAGTTAAAATATATTCCACTTGAGAACAGTTTCTCTATGAATGAGGTCATACTATTTTGTACCCTACTACGAACTAGATGTGAATTTTTTCTTGGCCCAGTTTACTTCAGTCATTATAGTTTATATTTTTTGTAGATTAATTCTTATTTTTAGTTTTCTTTACATATAACATGGTATTTAGTTATAATTATTTTAATAAATACTCTTATGAGGGTACATGCAATTTCAGTTTGCTTTCCCATATTTTTCCAAAAGTTCAGTAACAATTACTTGAAAAAGATTGTATCAGAACTCCTTCTATAATATCAGCCCCACTAGTTTAGATTTAGTGTGTTCTGTATAATTAGCTTATTGTAGTTTATTTAATAAACCATGGGCAAATATAATGTGGAAATGCAAGCAATGTAAGAATGCATACAACATGCTCACATAGCATGGCTAACCAATACCATATCCATGGGTAGATAAATTAATGGATGAACAACCCCAAAAACCGGCTAGCTTCATTTTTACTGAAAATAGATTTCTTGTGATTATCATGTCCTGCTTTTTAAGGGAAAAAAGCTGATGACATTATGAGGATTAGAGCCACTGTGGACAGGACGTGGAAAGGTTTAGCCTTTTTCTGTTCTCATTTCAACCCTTGGCATAGATACGAAAAAGGGGAAGAAATAATGGAGCTGTGTGATGCTTTGGATTTGATTCCATGTAAAGATGCTTCAGAAACCCCAGGGGTGTGAATGCAACAGCTGTTTGTATCTTTAACACAGAATGCCTTTTCTTACTTTATAAAGCAGAAAACTGCTGTGATTGCACTCTACATGGTCAAAAGCAGGGGTCTTCAAATTTGGCCCTTTTATGACTTGTGGACTTCAACTTCCAGAATTCCATAGCCAGCATGCCTGGCTGAGGAATTCTAGGAGTTGAAATCCACAAGTCATAAAAGGGCCAAGTTTGAAGATCCCTGGTCAAAAGCATTCTGTGGAAGGTAAGTGTTTACCAGCCCTGGAAAACCAAATTATGGCTGAAAGATGCTTGGAAAGGAAGTTACCGCAACCTGACCATATTTTTACTCAAGAACTTGATTTGAATAGCATGCTAGTTTCTTAATTAACTGGCTTCATATGGTCTAGATTCTAGAAGCATGGCAAAAGGACAGAGGGAAGCAGTTAGGTGTGATATCAGTTACTAATCACCAGCCTCATGTTGTTTTTAAAACTGCAGCTATCCTTATTTTGTTTAACATTCAATAGTCTTTTCCTTGTAATGCAGTCTTTCTACTGTTTCTAGTACTTGTCTACCTACATGGAGAGATACAGGTAGTCCTCCACTTACGACCACAATTAAGCCCCAGACTTATGTTAGTAAATGAGAAATTTGCTAAGTGAATTTTGCCTCATTTTATGACCTTTCTTGCCAAAGTTCTTAAGTGAATCACTGCAGTTATTAAATTAGTGGCACGGTTATTAAGTAAATCTAGCTTCCCCATTGACTTGTCAGGTTACAAGATCACATGACCCCAAGAGATTACAACCGTTATAAATATGAGTCAGTTGGCAAGCTCCTGAATTTTGGTCATATGACCACAGGGTTGCTGCAATGGTCATAAATGTGAAAAAACAATCACAAATCACTTTTTTCAGAGCCATTGTAACTTTGAACGGTCATTGTAAGTCGAGAACTACCTGTACTTCTTTATCAGAACTGTAGATTAGATAGGAAGATCTGATAAATATACCAAAAACCATTTAAGTTGTTGTTAAAACAAACAAAAACCAGGGGGGAAAAACTCATATAGGGACAAACCAAGTACACATTTTTTTATCATTGTCCTTTTATCACTGTTGCTTTCCTATGTGTTTTCAATTATTTCTTCTTTGAACTTAATGGACAAAATATAGAAAACTTAAAATAGAAATTATTATATATTTTCATTTCTCTGTGATTTTTGCAATGCTATCTCAGTAAATGTGCTCCACTTGTGTTTAGACCATACAGAATCAAAGGAAATCAGATTGTTGAATGCCTCAGTTGTTTTTACTGAAATGCAAAACAGCGATCAATTCAATAAGTCCTGTACAATTTTTTTTTTATTGTAATTGTTTTCTGGGTGGAGCTTGGCTCATTTTTGTGAATAAAAGACTTTGGCTGTACTTACCAAAGTAGTCATCAGACTAGAAACTGTAGCAACTGTCATTCTTTATTACTGAACTGTGGTGGTGCAGGGGTTAAAATGCAGTATTGCAGGCTAACTCTGCTGACTGCCAGCAGTTTGGCAGTTCGAATCTCACAGGCTCAAGGTTGACTCAGCCTTCCGAGGGTAAAATAACCCAGATTGTTGGGGTCAATATGCTGACTCTGTAAACCTCTCAGAGAGAGCTGCAAAGCACTCTGAAGTGGTATATAAGTCTAAGTGCTATTGCTATTGCTAAAACACTGTCAAACATCATCTTATAAGGATAACAAAGTGTTTATGCCAGTGCCTTCTGTGGTGATTTTTTTCAGCAATAATTTATTTTTACTTATCTTTTTTATCATTTCAGTAATTGTTTAGCATGATTCAGAAACCATGTTGTTGCTCCTGTTGTTAAATAGCGAGTCAGAAAACATTACTGAGATCTAGCAGGACCTCCAGATCTACTTTCCACTCACCTTTGTCATGTCATTTTTGAAACTGTTTGATATCAGTTTCTGCTTTGTAAACTGCTGTGATTGAAGATCTCAGCCTAGAGCATCAGTGTGCCCAAAGACATCCCCATTGATACAAACCAGGATACCTGACTTTTAATAATGATATGTTTATAATAAATATATAATAAACTGGAAGTAGTGGGGCATTTCCTGGTAACAATTTAGTCTTTAGTATTCTTTAGTACCAACCCAAGGCGGGGGGAATGGAATTTTCAATTTCACCTATTCCTTTAATGTGTTATTGGACTTGCTGTATATAACCCCCGCATAGGAGGCAGATATTTTGCTCACAGGTTGAAAACGATTGCCCACACCTCTAGGCTACAGATAATCTTTTTTCTTCTCTAGTTCATTGTGTCATTTCATTATATCCTTCAAGTTTAGTCTTCAAAACCAGAACTTCAGCAGTCCGTCTTCACCCAACTTGACTCACATTATTTTCATCTTTTGCTTTTAGATTATTCTTTCATCGCCTTTCAAATATTCGTTACAGTAACTGTTTATTTGTATTCTCTTTATTGTCATCCCAGCCCTGTTCAAAATTATTTGTAAAACTGCAGTCTTCTTTCCATACAGCAGAAAATATACAGTGGCAGTGGGCAGTTACAATATTATACATGGATGTTTATATTCTAATATGTATCAATCATATTTAATTTCTTTCCAGTGCCAGAATTTATGATTAGCCTGCCTGAGAAATTTCTTTACCGTGTGGAAAATAAAATTTTTATTCTGGTTGAAATGAGTGGAAGAAGAAACCTTCAAAGGGTAGACAGCGAGTTTATTTAAGAAGGCATATTCTGAGCTACAATGCTGTTCAGTTTTTGGCATCATATTAATTTGATGCATAACATTTTGCTGCCTAATTGTGATTTATAGTCAGGAGTGTTTTATTAACGTTAAATTCATCTCACATAAGTATCCCTCTATAGCAGGGGTCCTCAACCTTGGCAACTTTAAGACTTGTGGACTTCAGCTCCCAGAATTCCTCAGCCAGCAAAGGAATTCTGGGAGTTGAAGTCCACAAGTCTTAAAATTGCCACGGTTGAGGACCCCTGCTCTATAGTAGTTCTGATATTTTGTAAGTGATGTTAAAGTTCAAGTTTAGACAATCTTTGTTTTGAAACAGATTTGCCAATCACAAATCCATGCTAAGTGTGAAATCACTGAACCATACGTACTTAAGTGTCATTAATCTCTATACCAAAGTGCTTTTTCTTCACACTGATTTAGAAAGAACTGCTAAGATAGTTTTTCAGTTGAATTCATTCAAATAAATTGTAGGTTTTTAGAATTTCTTTCTTTTTTAAAAAAATTTACAGCTGCGGTAACTCAAGAAGAAAGTCCCAATGGCAGAACTATCAGCCCACTTTTCCCAGGTCCCGCGTGGGCAACTGAGAGAGAACGCTTCTGACAATCAGCTGACCAATACGGTACGTAAGAGATGACTTTATTACATGCCAAAATAGAAGCTGAATGGATTACACATGGTAGACCTGCAGAATCAGTGGCATACCAAGGATAGGTGTGAGAGCAATCTGCCCCTGATGCAGATAATAATGGGATGCATTGTATAGTGACTTGGGGACAAAGAGAACGCTGTCTAGAGAGTTGGCCGCAGGTATGGAGCCAGGTCATTGCTATTGGCACACCAGTCAGCTGTTCATGGTCAGCAGCAAGAGGAAGAGGATGTTTAAAAAATGACCTGTTTTAGTAAGTCACTGTACAGAATGCCCCTTGTTCCTTATCAGGATTTGCTTCTTATTTATTTATTTTTATTTTTTGCTGTGTAAACTTTAATGAAGGTGATTTTCTCTGATCCCTTTGTGACATGGTAAGTTTAGATTGTAGGGCTAGCACTGTTGAGGAGATCTAGGCTTAAATATCCATTCAACCATGAAGTTCACTGGGAGATCTTAGACCAGTCATCATCTTTTAGCCTAACCCTTTTTACAGGATTATTGTGAGCATATGTTGGACAGTAGAAATAGAACGATAATAGTAATAATGGAAATGCATGTGAGAAACCAGGATTATTTAATTTGATTTTCACATTTTTGGGGGCCACTTTACTCCCAAATGCCTATGGGAGCTTCAGAAACTAAAACAAATATAATGGAATACAATATAATACAACACAAAAGGGACACTATATGACAAAGTGAAACAATATATGGAGAAAAAACGTGAAAGACACTTCAGATTTTCACTTCACCCACCACTAAAATGGACCTTCTAAACAAAATACTTTTTTAAAAGATTGCCTAATGTGTAAGGTTGAAGCTCTACAGAGCTGGGGGGGGGGACTGTTCCATAAGGCAGGTGCAGCAACAGGGAAGGTCTACCTCCAGTGTCCCATTAGATGGCATTTTTTAATTGACAGGATGCAGAGTATGCCAGCCCTGTCAGAATAAATAGAATAGGCAGTCACTACAGCAATAGCACTTAGATTATCGCTTCACTGTGCTTTACAGCCCTCTCTAAGTGGTTTACAGAGTCAGCATTTTACCCCCAACAATTTGAGTCTTCATTTTACCGACCTTGGAAGGATGGAAGGCTGAGGTGGTGAGATTCAAACTGCCAAACTGCTGGCAGTCAGCAAAGTTAGCCTGCAACACTGCATTCTAACCAGGGCAGCAGATAAGTAGTTCCTGAAATACTTAGGCTGCATGCCTTGTAGCAGAGGTCCCTAACCTTTTGAACACCAGGGACTGGTTCCGTGGAGAGAGGTTTTTCTGCGGAGGGGGCGTGGTTTCATGTACTGCCTTCATCCCACAGATGGGGCTTTGCTTATTTGAGCGGACCAGTTTCTGGCATGCGGACCGGTGCCGGTCCACAGACCAGGGGTTGGGGACCCCTGCCTTATAGGGCTTTATAGGTGCTATCCAAGATGTTGAAATACACCTAGAATCCAGTTCATCTCAGTAAGCAAGAGTATTACATGGGAATAATGAAGCATGCCCATGAACTGCACTTTGGATCGGCTATAATTTTGGGATGGCCTTTCTGGCCAGCTTCATGCAGAGCATGTTGCAGTAATCCAACTGCAAGGTAAGACGCAAGTGACCATAAGGAGGGTCATGCCAGGAATGGACCAACTGGTCCACTAGCTGAACCTATAGAAAAACTTTCCAGTTCACAACCATTAACTTGCTCTTTGAGGAGGAGTTCCAAATTCAGAAAGACCCTTTCAACTTTCATGTAGAACTAGTAGGACTAAGCACACAAAACCCGTCAGCCTTACTAGGGTTTCGTCTGAGCCTGTCCTTCATATCCAGAGCCTCTTCCTCCATATCCAACAGCTTTCAGGAAAGAAAGCCCAAAAGCCTTGTTTGGATGGTTAAAAGTTGAGATATACCCATCAGTGTTACCTGACCCTATAAAGCAGGGGTTCTCAACCTTGGCAACTTTAAGACTTGTGGACTTCAACTCCCAGAATTCCTCAGCCAGCTTTTCCTCCTAGCTTTGCTGGCTGAGGAATTCTGGGAGTTGAAGTCCACAAGTCTTAAAGTTGCCAAGGTAGAGAACCCCTGCTATAAAGGATCACCTCCCCCAACAGTCTCATGTGGATGTTAAGCAAGAGAGTTGAGAGTGTTAAGCTTTAGGCACACCACAGAAAGGTTTAGGACTCAACTTCTCCCCCACCCCCCAAACACCAGATTTTAACTTGATCTTTTTAAAGTTATTTCCTAGGAAGTCTCGTTTTCCACGTAATATAATTATTATACAGATTCCGGATTTGTGATTCCTTTAATAAATAAAATCATGCTATATCAAAACAGTATGAGTCTCTACAATCTGGTGCTTGTTAGATGTGCTGCCATTAGAGTTTCAAACTTCAGGGGGCAGCAGGGGGGAATTGTAGTTCCGATATGTTCTGCAAGTATTTTGTTGTATGGCACGGTCTTGCTTGAGAGAGGCTCAGAGTAACTGCGTAGCAGATAGTTTCTATCATCCCAAAGCTTAGTCCTTAAAAATCTGCTTAGATCAGAGGTCTTCAAACTTGGCCCTTTTAGGACTTGTGGACTTCAACTCCCAGAATTCCTCAGCCAGGCACGCTGGCTGAGGAATTCTGGGAGTTGAAGTTCACAAGTCCTAAAAGGGCCAAGTTTGAAGACCCCTGGCGTAGATAGTAGCTGCCTTCATAACCTTGGATGCCTCTATACATATTTCTTGAGTCATAAGGAACCAAGAGACCAGTGGTAATATTAAAGTCAATATATTACTATTTTGAAGCCATATGCAATGCCTTGTAATGTGCTGCTGGTGCTGCTTCCTTGATTGAAAAGGTAATTGAACTACTTTCGATGTTCTGCACCTTTAAAGCGATTGCTTTGGATTTCATATTAACTATAACTTTGATAATTGCCAAGGCTGCTGTTTATCTTTGGTATTACTCATTCACCTTGAAGATATATAGTGCGTTCTTGCACACAAAGAATATAAATGGGATTAGTTCAAACTTTTTTCAAGGCTTTAGTTCCTTAATGGATAGTGAAATTGAGGAATCCATTCCTTTGCTTCTGCTAACGGTAGGCTTTCAGTTCTATTTAATGCTAATCAGGTAGGGACCTGTATTTTCTATATACTAAGGCAAAGTGCAAAAACTGTAACATGATTCCTTGCCATTTACAATGCACCTTTGCACAGACTTTACATTCTAGGCATCAGTGAGTAATCTTGTTTGAGCAGTTTCAAACTGTAGCCCAGAACATAGTTTTAAGGCTTTTATATAAATGTTCTTACAATTTTTGATATAAATATCTTTTTTCCTTTTTATTCTACTTGTGACGGTATTCTATATTCTGAGTTATCGATATGAAAATAATTTTACTTATCTATGAAAATTATTTCTGCTATAAAAGAAGCCCAAATGTTCATTGTAAATAACTTTTGGATTAGAGAATTGTTGCATTTTTATTAAATGAGTTTGATAAAAGTTTTCTTAAATCACACACTTATATTGTTCGTCAGAGACGGAAACATAGAGTCATTGTTCTGACAGCTTTTCTTGTTTGTCTGATCTATATTTGTTCTTACTTGATTTTACTTACTGGGGCATAATAATATGAAAGTTAGGAAAAATGTTGATATACAAACCCGGGCATCATGTTTTGGGGACTCTTCAAAATATCATAAACGTATTACTGCCTCTCTACTTAACTTCCTGTAAGAACGCACCATGTTGGTTTAAACTACCTGTGTGCCTGATGCTTGTAAGGAGAATGCAAAGGGTAAAGTACATGCAGCAGGTCAAAGAAGAGTCGTAGAAGCCCTGTAGAACTGGAAGAAGAGGATAGAATTAAATCTGTTTTTTACGGGATTAAAGAAATTGAGTTTCATCTCTGATTTATCTGCTTTGCGTTTTAAAAGACTGTATGCTGTTTAAGTCAGGGGTTCCCAACCCCCGATCCATGGACTGGTACCAGGCTGCAGCATGCCAGCAATGGGTCTGCACAAACAAGCAAAGCGCCATCTGTGGGATGCAGGCAGCACACAAAACCATGCACACTCTGATCCATGGAAAAATCTTTATCCACGGAACCGGTCCCTGGTGCCCAAAAGGTTGGGGACCTCTGGTTTAAGCAGTTACTGAAAGACTGAATGCTATGCTGACAACTCCACAACAAAGACACTGATTCACATGAACATAAGTAGCCCACATCTCCAGGTTTTGATTGTCATTCCCCTTCTAGGCCATCACCTGCATAGCTACAGCAGTATAGCAGCCTTTGGTGCTCCCAGATTGTTGACTTTTATAATTTACAACACAAGATGCATACAGAACATGCAAATATTTGTGGATGTGGAATTCTTAATTTCAGAATGTCAACAATGAAAGACGACAACAGGAGAGTGGTGACCAGAGAGTGAACAATCCTACTCCAGCATCTAATGGACAGCCACAGCCAAGGCCTCGACAAGTGGTGGAGCAAGAAGAGGAGGAGGAGGAAGAGCTGACACTGAAATATGGGGCCAAGCATGTGATCATGCTCTTTGTGCCTGTCACATTATGTATGGTAGTTGTGGTTGCAACCATCAAGTCTGTCAGTTTCTACACGCGCAAGGATGGGCAGCTGTACGTAACTAATTTTTTCCATAATTGCTTTTTTTTCCTGCTGTGACACTCTTATTTTTTTCTCCTCTGTATTTATTCTTTAACCAATGTTTCAAAATCTAATTATTGTCAGTATGTTTGCTTTTTTTTTTTTTAAATAGTCTTTGCCAGTCATTTGGTTTTGCTAAATCCCTTTTCCTCTAGTTCCCCAAAAGATACAGTTTTGGACAAGAAATATTCAATTTCCTTCCTTCATTCCCATTTCTCCAATTTTAAATAACTCTTCTACTTCTTTATGTTTCTTTGAACAAATACATGTAGTTATGGAATAGCATTAGATAGTTTCATTCATAAATAGGATATTGGGTGAATCCTTCTAAATTTCCTCTATCCGTGAGAAACTTATAGAAATAGGGAATCTTATAATAATAATAATAGTAGTAGTAGTAGTAAAGTTGGAAGGGACCTTGGAGGTCATCTAGTCCAACCCCCTGCTCGGGCAGGAAACCCTACACCATTTCGGACAAGTGGCTGTCCAGTCTCTTCTTAAAAACTTCCAGTGTTGAAGCATTCACTGCTTCTGGAGGCAGGTTGTTCCACTGGTTAATTGTTCTCACTGTCAGGAAGTTTCTCCTTAGTTCTAGGTTGCTTCTCTCCTTGATTAGTTTCCACCCGTTGCTTCTTGTCCTGCCTTCAGGTGCTTTGGAAAATAGCTTAATTCCCTCTTCTTTATGGCAGCCCCTGAGATATTGGAATACTGCTATCATGTCCCCCTTGTCCTTCTCTTCGTTAAACTAGACATACCCAATTCTCGCAACCGTTCCTTATATGTTTTAGCCTCCAGTCCCCTAATCATCTTTGTTGCTCTTCTCTGTACTCTTTCTAGAGTCTCAACATCTTTTTTACATCGTGGTGACCAAAACTGGATGCAGTATTCCAAGTGTGGCCTTACCAAGGCATTGAAGAGTGGTATTAATACTTCACGTGATCTTGATTCTATCCCTCTGTTAATGCAGCCTAGCACTGTGTTGGCCTTTTTGGCAGCTGCAGCACACTGCTGGCTCATATTTAGGTGATTGTCTACTAGGACTCCGAGGTCCCTCTCACAGTTACTACTATTGAGCAGGGTACCCCTATACTATACCTGTACATTTGGTGTTTTTTGCCTAAATGTAGAATCTTACTTTTTTCACCACTGAATTTCATTTTGTTAGATAGCACCCAATGTTCAAGTCTGTCCAGATCCTCCTGTATCCTAAGCCTGTCTTCTGTAGTGTTGGCTATTCCTGCCAACTTGGTGTCATCTGCAAATTTGATGAGTTCCCCATCTATCCCTTCATCCAAATCGTTGATGAAGATGTTGAAGAGTACTGGGCCCAGAACAGAGCCCTGGGGCACCCCACTACACACTTCCCTCCATATAGATGCAGTTCCATTGAGGACCACTCGCTGAGTACGGCCGGTCAGCCAGCTACGGATCCATCTGGTGGTGGTTCTGTCTACCCCACATTTTTCTATCTTGTCAAGTAGTAGGTTGTGATCTACTTTATCAAATGCCTTACTGAAGTCCAAGTAAATTATGTCCACAGCATTCCTCTGATCCACTAATTTTGTCACTTGGTCAAAGAATGCAATAAGATTTGTCTGGCATGATCTATTTTTGACAAACCCATGTTGGCTTTTAGTAATGACTTTGTTTGCCTCTAGGTGTTCGTTGATTCGTTGTTTGATTATCTTTTCCAGGATCTTCCCAGGTATTGAGGTCAGGCTGATAGGTCTGTAATTTCCTGGATCCATTTTTTTCCCTTTTTTGAGGATGGGAACTACATCAGCTCTTTTCCAGTCCTCTTCTTTCTTTTGCCCTTTTCATACCTATTCTAGAGGGCTCTCTTGATCCTTCCTAACAGATGGGGTTTTGTTAATGCCCCTTTCTCTCATTTTGCTGACAGAAGCCTCTGTCAATGCAAGCACAGTTCTTTGATTTCGCCTCTTGTATTTTCATGTAAAATCAATTTACATCTTCTTTAAGAGTTAAATATTTTTAAAACTTAAATGGTTATTACCTTTATTGTTTATCTCTTTAATGGGAAGTCCTTGAACTAAATTAAAATACACCCCATCATCCAACTTGCATTCTTTTAGAGTTTAGGTGTGGATTAATGGACCTCAAAATGGTAAATGCTATCTCGTGTATGGCACCACAAGATTTCTTTTTCGTGTGCGTTAATGGAATGTTAACTGAAATATCCGATTGGGAAAGGCATCTTGGAGTCAGGATTTATAGCTCATGATAACCCATTGCATACATATTGCAGAAACCATAGAAGTCCTATTTTGGATTCATTAAAAAGGGAACTGAAAAAGGATGATCAAATAGAGGAAATGCCAAGGCAAGATAAGTCCCTGCATGGCATGTAGCATTGATAGATAGCTGAGTTAGCTGACGTTGGGAAATCCTGAGAGTGGCTGGAAAGGACTGCATTAGAAAAAACAATGCTGATCATAGCAGCACAAGCACAGGAACTAAGCACCAGATCCTTAGAAGCAGGAGTCTACTACAGTAGACAGGACTCAAGGTTCAGACCATGCAGTGAGGCCTCAGAAACAGTCCCAACACATAGTGACAAGATGTGCGATGCAAGCAGGAACTGTGTACCCTGAAAGGCACAACTGAATAGTTGGCATTATGTAAAGGAACCTATGCACAGTGTATTGGCCTTCCAAATCAAGATGGGAGATTGCACAAAACGTGAAGAATAACAGAGTTAAGATCCTCTAGGACAGTGGTTCTCAACCTTTTTAATGCCGCGACCCCCCAACCGGTCGTAAGTCGAGGACTACTCAACTGGTGCAGCACCATTTGCAAAATGGGACTTTTGGCGGGCTCAGCAGGGCAGAGACAGCCTGGACAATTCCTATTGGCTTTTGAAAGCCAATAGAATTAGACTCTATTCAAGAGAGTCTATTCTATTGGCTTTCAAAAGCCAATAGAATAAAAGGGAGTAGCACAGCTAAGGAAAAGGGGAAAAAAATGGCGGACTGTGTTGTTTGGCGACCCCCGTGAAATGGTCTTTCGACCCCAAATGGGGTCCCGACAGGTTGAGAACCACTGCTCTAGGATTTTCAGATCCAGATGGATAAGCAGGTACTGGCCAGTCAATCAGACATTGTAGTAGATAAGGACCAGAAGACAGCAGTGGTGATTGATGTAGCAGTGCCAGGTGATAGCAACATCAGGAAGGAGTATGAGGAACTGGAGAAGTATCAGGACCCGAAGGAGGAACTAAAGGGAATATGGAAAGTAAAGGTCAAAGTGGTAGCAGTAGTAGTTAGGAGAGTTTGGGGCTGTCGTCTCTAAGCTGGGAGAGTGGCTCCAACATATCCCAGGAAAAACATCAGACTTCTCTATCCAAAAAAGTGCAGTGTTAGGAACAGCCAAGATACTATGCAGAACCCCGAAATTCCCAGGCCTCTGGAGTAGAGGACCTGAAATTGAGAAAGACATGGCACCCATGTCTTCCATGTAATATGGAATGTAGACAGATGCATGACTTTTTCTTTAATAATATGACATAACATTACTTGGGGAATTTTATTGTGTTGGGTCAGGTTTGTCTTGATCAGCATAACCTGTCTTGTATTTTATGGGACAAGGGTTGTTGTACATATTAAGCAGATTCATATTCTGCTGCTGTGTTTTTGACTTTGTTGGAAGCTTAAAATGGAGTAGTGATGTGCGTGTAATTTATCTCCTAGCCACTAGATGGTGCATGCAAAAACCTTTATAAAGTGTTCCATATCTGTTGAATTCTTTTCAGATGAATTTAATCAGAAAATGTATCCTGATTTAAAAGCATGTGACATATTTTATTTTGCTCTGCATTGCATTGTAGAATCTATACTCCATTTACAGAAGATACAGAAACTGTTGGACAAAGAGCTCTGAATTCTGTTCTCAATGCTGCCATCATGATTAGTGTCATTGTTGTCATGACTGTACTCCTGGTTGTGCTTTATAAATATAGGTGCTATAAGGTGAGCTCAAAATTATTTATATTTTCATTCAAACTCCCATTTCCATTTATTTATAATGCCATTCTAGAACTTACTCTATTCCAGTTTGTAAAGGACCGAAACAATTGTTAAATCTATGCTTCATCTGAGGATTAACTACGAAACAGCAGAACGGGACAAAACAAAATAATAACATACTTTTGTATTTTACAAAAAAAAAATTGTAATGACCGTCAGAAATTGGCAGTTAGATATTTTAAATCTTATTTAAAAATAATTTTGAAAAGGAAAAGACCCTGAAATAAATTAAAATGATTTAATTAACCTGATATTAAAATGTGTTCAAATAACTAAATATTGGCATATGTTGGGTGACTCCTTTAATTTCACCAGAGATTTATTCCTTTTTTGTTTTGTTCAAAAAAAACCCTTTATTCTGTTACATGATCTACAGATTGATGTAAGCAATTCAGGTTTTACTAACAAAAATAAAATATTCTGCAATATAAATTCAGAAAGTTTTTAAATTATATTTTAATGGGTGAATGGAATCAGTTAATGTGGATAGAATTGTCAAATGAAGCATGGTAAACCAAATTCTGAAGACCTGCCTTTATGTACTATTAAATGATACCTTTTGTAAATTTAATTTAGAAATATATATAGTTGCTTGTGTTATAGAACAATTTTTAATTTATAGATGGTGCAGTATATGTAACAGGTTTATATTATCAGAATTATCTGTTAATATTTCTGTACTGAAATTATAACCATAATGATCTTCATTTGTATATTAATTAACTGTCAGTTCTCTGATAACAGTACTGGTTAAAACACCATACTGTACATTCCAAAGAATACTACAAGTTCTGGATTATACATTCTTTTCAAATCAGATGCATCTTTAATTCTTTTTTTTCATATTTTATTAATTTTCTAATTTTTCAATCATGAGTACTTAATAAACAATGTGTTGTCTGGGTAATTGGTAATTCAGTGGTACATATTAAATTTCTACAGTCTAGTTCCAATACTACATCATCCAGTGCTTCCTTGATCCTTTCTTCTTCCGGTGGTATGCATTTTTCCACATTGGGCAAATACAATTCTTGTTACTCTTAATACATATACAATTAAATATAGACATCTTCATCACATTTTTCTGGTATTATACATAATATTGATAGTGGCAGTTTATATATGTTTCTAGCCAGAACACTATATAATTGCATCCCACAGTCCTTTAAAAAAGAAGCTTTAGGATTTTAAAAGTCTTTAAAAAGGAGCTTACAACAGAAAGAGATTGTCAGAAATCCTTGGTATCTAGATGGGGCTCTGCATACAGCCCTCAGTATTTCATAAAATGTTATATGAAGATGTTCTAAAGTTTCAAATAGCCATTTTTGAAATGGGCAATCTAATATCAAGTCTGAAAATTAAACCCATCTTTTATTTGTGTTTCAGGTGATCCATGGTTGGCTCATTGTTTCTTCTCTCTTTTTGCTTTTCTTTTTCTCATTTATTTACTTAGGGTAAGTATAGAAATATTTTGCTATTTAGATTTGTCAAAATGGGGGAAACGGGTTCAGATTAAGTATCCTTAAATCCTAGCTGCTATATTAAGGTTTACATATAGGGATTACATTGAACAATAACAAATGTTTATGATTCAAAGTTTTGTACCATTTTTAAAAATATGACCATTGGATTTCAAAGAAACAAAGCCACATAAAGATCTCCTATTCTGTTAAAAAATATAGATATTCATTCTCTCTCTCTCTCCCTCTCCCCCTCCCTCCCTCTCCCCCTCCCTCCCTCTCCCCCTCCCTCCCTCCCTCCCCCCCTCTCTCTCTCTCTCTCTCTCTCTCACACACACACACACACACACACACACATCTATCAATAAAATGAAACCTTATTTCATTGGGGACAGAGATGTCTATTATTTGTGAAAGTCATTTAAATATAACAATTTGCATCATTTATGTAATAATTTTATTATGCAAATAATACAGGCTGATGCAAACAATAATTTGTCATTTGTCCAAGCAAATAATGACATGAGCAGAGGTATGTTTATGAAGTCCATTATATCAAAGTCTACTAAATTGAGATCAAAATGTATGGCTATCTTTAGAAGAGAGAGAGAGATCCTATCCACATGGGATACTTGTACACCATGCTAGGTTCTGCATAGTTAGTTCATAGCTTGCTCCTCTAATACAGTGCTTAGCAACAGAATTTTCTCCCCACCTTTCAGTGCAAATGGGCAGATGAAAGCAAACAACCAGATTAGTTGTTGGCCAAATGATTTTGTAAGGGCTTCGTTAACTGTGCTGCAGTACATCTACTGTATTTATTAGCTCTTTGGGGTTTTTAGAAATCTATATTTGTAGTTTCTTGGCTGCCTGAGAGAATTAATACAGGTTACCACAACAATTGTAATGGTAAAATGATCTGCTGGTACTATCAGCATAGCTGAAGAAGCTTAAGTCTTCTGTAAGCTGGCCATTTTGGGATACACTTTAAACTCTGTACACAAAAGATTATTTTGAAATTGCTCCCTAATAAATTGAAAAAAAAATATCTTCAGCAACTGTTAGACTATATATTACCAAAACAGTGTTTATGTTTACATACTTTATGTCCCATGTTGATTTCTTTTTCTACAATGCTGTGCAGTCATTTTATTTTCTGTTGAATCATTTGGATTTTGAATTTTGTAACTCTATTTGGCATTGAAATTGTTGTTCACTTCTTTATTTTTTATTTATTAAATCTCTATGCACCCATCTCACCTAGAGTCGGCCCTAGATTAGCTTACAACTAATAAAAGCAACAAGATAAAACATCAGAACACTAAAACTCGTGTTTTGCATCTGTCTTTACACAAAGGGAAAAAACAGACCAACCTATTAAAAATAGTGCCATAAAAAAACAAAACAGAAACACAAGTTAAGATAGGCAAGAAAATGGTTAGGGAGCACCTGTCAAGCCTAGATGAGTTCAAATCGCCAGGACCAGATGGACTACACCCCAGAGTTCTCAAGGAACTGGCAGATGTGATATCGGAGCCACTGAACTATATTTTTCAAAGATCCTGGAACACAGGGGAACTACCAGAGGACTGGAAAAGAGCGGATGTAGTTCCCATCCTCAAAAAAGGAAAAAAAATGGATCCAGGAAATTACAGACCTATCAGCCTGACCTCAATACCTGGGAAGATCCTGGAAAAGATAATCAAACAACGAATCAACGAACACCTAGAGGCAAACAAAGTCATTACTAAAAGCCAACATGGGTTTGTCAAAAATAGATCATGCCAGACAAATCTTATTGCATTCTTTGACCAAGTGACAAAATTAGTTGATCAGAGGAATGCTGTGGACATAATTTACTTGGACTTCAGTAAGGAATTTGATAAAGTAGATCACAACCTACTACTTGACAAGATAGAAAAATGTGGGGTAGACAGAACCACCACCAGATGGATCCGTAGCTGGCTGACCGGCCATACTCAGCGAGTGGTCCTCAATGGAACTGCATCTATATGGAGGGACGTGTGTAGTGGGGTGCCCCAGGGCTCTGTTCTGGGCCCAGTACTCTTCAACATCTTCATCAACGATTTGGATGAAGGGATAGATGGGGAACTCATCAAATTTGCAGACGACACCAAGCTGGCAGGAATAGCGAACACTCCAGAAGACAGGCTTAAGATACAGAAGGATCTGGACAGACTTGAACACTGGGCAATAACTAACAAAATGAAATTCAATGGTGAAAAAAGCAAAGTTCTACATTTAGGCAAGAAAAACCAAATGCACAAGTACAGCATAGGTGGCACCATGCTCAATAGTAGTAACTGTGAGAGGGACCTCGGAGTCCTAGTAGACAATCACTTAAATATGCGCCAGCAGTGTGCTGCAGCTGCCAAAAAGGCCAACACAGTGCTAGGCTGCATTAACAGAGGGATAGAATCAAGATCACGTGAAGTATTAATACCACTCTTCAATGCCTTGGTAAGGCCACACTTGGAATACTGCATCCAGTTTTGGTCACCATGATGTAAAAAAGATGTTGAGACTCTAGAAAGAGTACAGAGAAGAGCAACAAAGATGATTAGGGACTGGAGGCTAAAACATATAAGGAACGGTTGCTAGAATTGGGTATGTCTAGTTTAACGAAGAGAAGGACAAGGGGGGACATGATAGCAGTATTCCAATATCGCAGGGGCTGCCATAAAGAAGAGGGAATCAAGCTATTTTCCAAAGCACCTGAAGGCAGGACAAGAAGCAACGGGTGGAAACTAATCAAGGAGAGAAGCAACCTAGAACTAAGGAGAAACTTCCTGACAGTGAGAACAATTAATCAGTGGAACAGCCTGCCTCCAGAAGCAGTAAATGCTCCAACACTGGAAGTTTTTAAGAAGAGACTGGCCAGCCATTTGTCCGAAATGGTGTAGGGTTTCCTGCCTGAGCAGGGGGTTGGACTAGATGACCTCCAAGGTCCCTTCCAACTTTACTATTATTATTATTATTATTATTATTATTATTATTATTATTATTATTATTAAAACAATAAATATTAACACTAAAATTGACTTTACAATTAACAAAGATGGCAAGGAAAGGAGCAAGATGCTTTATTTGAATAACACAATTTTATATTATGTACCATTGTCAAAATCACAAATATCTCTTAATATTTGTGTTTTAGGGAGGTTTTTAAGACCTATAATGTTGCCATGGATTACATTACTGTGGCACTCATGATTTGGAACTTTGGTGTGGTCGGAATGATCTGCGTTCACTGGAAAGGCCCCCTCCGTCTTCAACAGGCCTACCTCATCATGATAAGTGCTCTAATGGCTTTGGTGTTTATAAAGTATCTTCCAGAATGGACTGCTTGGCTCATTTTGGCAGTAATCTCAGTGTATGGTAAGATTCCTCTATCCCCATTTTCAGTTTTGAATAAAAACCCTTTTCAAAAAATTAGCTGGTATTCTTTTTATATTTGGGATATCTGGTTATTTTAATGATTGGGAAGTCATATTATAAATCTGGGTCACACTTTGAATAAGCTTTGCAGTGGGGGGGGGCTTTTATAGTATGTGTGCTTGGTTTTTCTCAATCTTACATAAAAGCTTTTGCTGTGGGAGAGGGAGTCTGTGTGAAATAAAGCAGATATTACTCCAGGAGATACATATAATTCCTAACCATTGAAGATAGGATTGCCTTTCAGTTTTTTGACTTCAACTTTCACAAACTTTTGCCACTGGCTAAAACTTACTACCCGTGATCTAGTATCATGTCCATTTTCCCCACTGCTCTTTGAGATGGCTATACATGAGTGTAGAATCTGGCCTGTATTTATATTGAAGCAGGTTTAGTTATCCTTTGAGGAATAGGACTGAGATCTTTTCTAACAAAGGCTGTGTCAGTTGAGTTATGCAGAATGAACCCATGCATTGTCAAGTTTAGAAATATGTCACAAATGTTGTATCATCTAGGAGCATCTTTTGCCAAAGTGTACTTTCTGCCAAATGTCTGATCAGTTTCTGATCAGTTTTCAGTGCAGATGCAAAATGTATCTGGGAAAGAGATTCTGCTGGCTGAATTACTACCATTAGAGATGGGACGTTATGTCTCTTGCAGTGTTATAGAAGTGTGGAAACAGAGTGTGCTTTATTATATACCATGTTTTTGAGCACCTTCTCCCTTTTACCACATATGTGCTAATGTTACTCTTTATAGAGAGAATTTATTGACTACAGCAGAATCCTGGTTTTCTTATTTTTATTTTAATAAACACTCATTTGTTCTACTAGTATGAAAAGTAACTAGTATTAAAAGATGAGAGTTATCTAATGTGTCCTTCATAGATTTGGTTATTATTATCTGAAAATTCGTGATCCCCCCCTTAAGCAACTGTTAGATTCCATGTTAGAGATGAATGAATGTTGATCTGGGCTGAGAGTTGATACCCTGATTCAGTGCATATGGTTAGAAAGCATAGTATCATCTTCAAATGCTACATATTGTTACTTGGAAGCTTTTGAGGTTCCCTTATGCATTTGGCTGAACAGTGTGGATAATTAGCTAGCTAAGTGTTAAGTTGCTCTTATTCTGAAAAAAAAAAAAGTCCGCTCAACTTTGATCTTGATGGGAATTGAGGTAACTGCTGCAGTACTGAATTGTAAAAGGAAACATTTATAGCATCAAAATAATCAAATAAGCAAAATAAGGTGTGCGTTTAGAATGAAAGCTTGCCTCCCAATTTGTTAGATAAAACAAAAATCCTTTTGCAATAGTGCCGAATATCTGTAGCTCGGGTATAGGATGAGGGTTGGTTTCTGAAAGTTTTCCTTACCAGGCTAGGTAACATCTTCAGCTGTCTAAACTCCTTAAAAATCCTTTTAATGTGTATGTTCCTTGTTTTCCTAGTAGTAGTAAAAGTTTTAAAAAATAAAGGAAAGTATTGTTTATACGCTTTTATGTTTTATTTTTTTAAGTACCTGCCAAAGACTTTTCACAGTGTAAAACAGCTTTAGTTTTTGAAGTATTCGTTTTCTTTCACACACACACACACACACACACACACACACACACACACACACACACACATTTTGATTTTCAAGTGGGAACAGGCAATTTGGCAGCATTTTAAGATATGCAGACAAACAAGTTTGAAATACCATATCCTTACCAAGTTGTAAGGAAACAAAATGAATTTGTAAAACATTCTTCTTCTTCTTCTATATAAGTTCAGAAACAAAGAATAGCCGTAAAAATATAGATATTACACGCCATCAAATTAAAGTGATTTAAAATACTATACTGTCTTAAAATTCCTTGCCATTATACAAGTATAGTTCTTAATATAGTGTAAGTTTAGTAAATTTACTGACTGTTAGAACAACTGCCAACTGACTCTGTAAACCTTAAAGAAAAGAAATTGTGTTTGGCAAGAGAGGTGTTTTTCCAAATTGGAGAAACTCAGGAATTTCAAACTATTGAATTTTTCCTGAGTCTGAAAATGAAGTAATGACATTTAATAGGTGTCTGTGCCTCATAACATGATGAGACTCTGTGGGTGAGTGCTGTTTCTTTGAAATAAAATAAAAATGCTGTTTTAATTGCTAGTATTTGAGCTAAACCTAAGGCCTCCCCAAGTGTTTGCATGAGGTTTCAAGTCTGAAAAAAAAAAAAACCTGCTGCAGCATTGGGTGAGGCAAGGCAGGAATGGACTCAACCTCAGAGGCCCCACTGAAATGGAGAATTGCCATGGCTTACTAACTTCCTTATGGATCCGTGCCATTAGATGTCAGGAATATCTGAGTACCTTCCATGCATAGAGTTTTGTGGACAATGGTGGAACTGGAAAATTGCTTTAACGAATAAATAATTCTGCTATTTTTTCAGACAAGGAAAGCTTGTCCTTGTTATAATGGGAGCTATACAAATGTGATTGCTACATTTTGGCTTAAAATCTGGAAGGGGACCGGTCCCTGCACATATTTAAGTGTTCTTTTAAAAAAGCTCTTGTATAGGAAAAATTGTCCTTCCCAAAAAGGGATGATGGAAGTATGTCTGCTGTTTATGTATGCCCTTGAATGACAACAAGTAACATCTAAGGTTACAAATAAGTTGGTATGTGTGTATGTACATAGATGAGATATAGAGATTGAGGATGATTTCATTCAGATTAGAGTAGGTGGCCTGTTTCATAAAGTCATACTTAATGCATCCCAAAATATTACATGGCTGTATGAATTTTGATCCAGAAGGCATAGAGGGGGATGGTGTATAATCAGAAACTGCTTCCATCTTTGTTCCATTGATAGACGCGTCTGGTAGACTAAAAAAACATATGCCATGAGAAGGGTATCAATTAGACATCATGCTTTAATTATAAAACTAAATACGGAATTCAGATAGGCTGTTTTCTTCTGTATCCTTTATTTTCTTCTCTGAATGTCATTGTGCTAAGTTTCCTTCCCAATTTTTGAAATGTCTTGTGATATTTAATTGCTAGTGGTTTCATTGATTTGGTTCCAATCCTTATCCTGTAGTACAGTAGCAATGAATTCATAATTAAAAGTAATAATGACCACGTTTCTGAATCAAGAGATTTATTGTAGCATGTATCTTCATGATTTTTTAATTAGTAACTATTCTAAAAATGTGGGGCATATTACAGGCTGGGCTATTAAATAGATTGAGCAAAACAATACTTTTCTGTTACAGTCCTTCATAGGGATGCAAAATATTGTATGGAAGTTCCACTGAGCAGTCTAATTTATTACATTCATATTACTAATTATTTCTGACCACAGAGGAGCCATTTTTGAACTTTAAAATATATCTCAATATCTATCTTTCAGATCTGATTGCAGTATTGTCTCCCAAAGGGCCTCTTCGTATGCTAGTAGAAACAGCTCAAGAAAGAAATGAAACTTTGTTCCCAGCACTCATTTACTCATGTAAGAACAGATTATCTGATGCTTGCTTTGGATTAGGGGGAAATAATTTATCTAATTTTCTGTGAGTCACAGTTTCCTTTCATAAGAAAACAAATCTTTGTTGTGTGTTCAAAAGTTTAAAACCTGGGCTGGACAAGATGCTCCAGTTAGTATAGTGGTTCTCAACCTGTGTGTCGGGACCCCATTTGGGGTCGAACGACCATTTCACGGGGGTCGCCAAACAAGGCTGTCCGCCATTTTTCCCCCCTTTTCTTTGGCCATGCCCCTGGCACCCGGTGATGTATAAGTGGTTGGGGGTCACCATAACATGGGGAACTGTATTATGGGGTCGCAGCATTAGAAAGGTTGAGAACCACTGAGTTAGTAGATTTCCTTTGACTACAGAAGCAAAAAATGAGATACAGCAAACATCTAATTTTTAAGTATACCAAACTAATGACACATTTTCCCATTGTGGTGACTTTGCAATTGAGCAGTAGTTCCCCAATATACTGTACTTTTAAATGTTTATTGTTAAAAAAGAAAAAAAATCATTCTATGTGATCCAAAATAGTTTGACTATTTCAGGGATTTTGATTGGTTTTATGGCACGGTGTATCATCTGATCCTTTAGTACAGTTTTGTACTGAAATGGGGCCATGATAGAACTACAAGATTAAAGAAGAGTACCTGTTTGGTGGATGCACGTTTTGAAGAAGATCTTTTCCTATAATATCTGTTGGGTCTGCTGTCATTTACTTATGCATTTATACTAATAAAATTAAAAAAAAACTGTTTTACAAAGCTATAATGCAAAGCTTATTTTTCAGGCAATATGTATTCAATTGTTATAGTGGTACCTCAGTGCTCATCATTAATTGGTTCCAGGAGGCATGATGAGTATCAAAAACAATAAGTAGCAATTTTATTTTCCATAAGCAATAATGTAGTGAGTCACAAGGCAGCCAGCTCTTGATTTTCTTGTTTGTGCATTGAATACCAAAGAAACAATAAGTCCCAGGACAAAATTTTCGCATCAAAATGTGTTGAGTACCAAATTTGATGAGCTTCAAAGCAGTTGAGTATCAAGGTACCATTGTATTAAGATTGTCTTTCAGTTTAATTAAAATGGGCACAAAACACAAATAGAAAAAAGAAGTTTTGCTGTTGCCTTCCCTTTTAGCAACGTCTTAGATAAATTCATTACAAGGGTCACTGCAGTTTTCTGTGTGTTCAACACAGCACAATGTTGCTAAAATACTTAAAGTGTATACATAATCATAAGGCGGTTAAATAGCATATAGCAGCAATAAATCAGATGTCTTCTTTTTTCCATTAGCAACAATGATATGGCTAGTAAATATGGCTGAACAAGATACTGAAGCCCAGAAGGGAGCATCTAAAAATGCCACTTACAGTCAGCAAGGTGAGATTTTTTTTTTTTTTATCTATGTGAAGTCGTGTGAGAAATGCAGAATGAGAATTGTCAAGCAGTTTCATGTTAACTGTCTTACATTTACAGAAAGGCTTTGCTATTTAAATACTGAATTCATGTCCATCAGTGAACAATAACAGTGCACACTGATTTGAAGCCCTCTGCCAGAAAAATGTTTCCTTACCATTTGTCCCGAGATAGTTTTACTTCCACTCACCTCCAGGAATCCTTGTGACAAGTGAAGGGAGGGAATTCTACAAGTATTGGCTTGGGTCTGTTTTTTTCTTTCAACCTTAGAATGTTGTTTTAACAACACAGCTTCTACTTTTTACACCTCAACTCCTTTTTTACAAAAAAAAAAAATCAGAGGTGGCTTCCATTTAATAATAATAAATAAATCATATAAATAAAATTTAGAAAAATCAATCTTTTACAAATCTGAAGAATAGGGAGAAAAATCTACTTCTCTACTACATATTATGCAATATGTTTAACTGAGTATAATAAACACACTTATAACTAGCGTGTTGCTGGTGCCTTAAATCAATATACCAAACTGGCTTTCAAATAAGGTTTTTAAATTTATTCCATGGTAAATTGAACATGGTATATTTTACGATCATTTTTCTAGATTTTCTAATCTGTGCATGTACACTGAAAAGTACTGTTCTATTATGTTAAAGGATACTTTTATTTCCACAGAATCGTGCGTGAAATTGAAGTACAAACTTGAAGAGCATCTTATTTTTTTAAGAAAGCAAAATAATTAGTTCCTTGGATATACATGTTTTGTCCTGAGAGCTCTTTTATTGCTCTTTCAAGTTTCTCAGCATATAGAACTATTTATAATTTAGAAAACCATATGGACCTATCTAGAAATAATAGGGACTGGTGGGAATAATAATATTCTATATTTGCCTCCAAAACAGAGATCCTAAATATATACCATCAGTCTGTTTTACTGCTCCATTCACATAAAACAATCATCTTGTTGTGATTGTTTCCTTGTTAGGCAATTAGCTCACTTGAGTTCTATCAGATTGCTTTTCAGTATCAGAATAGGATCAAATATCAGGCAGAATGGGTAGACTATTCTCAGGCATCCACTCTAAAAAGTCTAGCAGTTTGATAGCTGTTTATTTAATTGATTGTGATATTTTCACTGCCAGGCAAGAAAACAATGTACTTGTAGCATTTTCAATAAATGTGCCATCATTGGATTCTTAGCATATATGTTGGAGGCAATGGAAATTATAAGGAATTATAATAATACAACTGGAGCACCATGGGCAATATTGCTGCTGCATAGCTTAACTTGCAGGGATGTGGGGAGTAGTATTTGCTTTTCCAGCTGAGGCAACAGAATGCCTTTGGATGGCGACAGATGCTTATAATGTATGTCACTGTCCAGTTTTACTTGGTTTGCTAAAACTGATTTGCAACCATTTTTTTTCAATTCTGTTTGCACTGAAGATCACAATTATACTCTATATCTGTCAATAATTAAGTATAGGTAGTACTTGACTTATAACAGTTTGTTCAGTTGACCGTTCAAAGTTAGAAGGGCACTGAAAAATGTGACTTGTGACCATTTTTCACACTTAAGATTGTCGCGGTATCCCTGTGGTCACGTGATCAAAATTCAGATGTTTGGCAACTGACTCATATTTATGACGGTTGCAGTGTCCCAGGGTCATGTGATCGCCTTTTGCAACCTTCTGACAAGCAAAATCAATAGCCAGATTCACTTAACAACCCTGTTACTAACTTAACAACTGCAGTGATTCGCTTAACAAATGTAGCAAGAAAGATCGTAGGATGAGGCAAAATTCACTCAACAAATGTCTCACTTAGCAGCAGAAATTTTGTGCTCAGTTGTGGTCATAAGGATTACCTGTATATACAAGAATTAGGATTTGGGTGCCTTCTAACTTATTTTTCATTTGTGTAGTACTTGGTTTTTGTTAGCTCAGTGGCAACATTTTTTTTCCACCTATCAACTCTCATATAATCTAATCATGTATTGGGGTGATGATCCTATGATCCCAGAGTGTAGTAAAAATGCCTGTGTACTTCAGTTACAGTGAATCAAAATCAGAATGCAGGTCCTGAGGTAGATGATGGAGGTTTCAACCCAGAATGGGAGCAGCAACGAGACAACAGGATTGGCCCAATACAATCCACCCGTGAAACACGAGCAGTGGTTCAGGCACTTCCCACTAATTCCCTAGCAAGCGAGGATCCAGAAGAGAGTAAGTAACATGAATAAATAAATCTAAATCAGCACAGAAACTTATTGTTGATTTAGAACTGGGGATGACAAACTTTTAGTTGTTAAAATGTGTTACTTAATACTTCTGGGGTTACATGGGTTGCAAAGTGCATGTCCCACATGTAGGCAGAAGTTGGATGTTTTTTAAATAGTTTTGAAGAGATTGTTTTTTCTCTGAAAACACCCGTCTTTAGATTTAAGCTATAATTTTCATGTTTCCCATCTCTAAATGGGAATGAGCTATATTTTCAGTAATCACAGTCGGAGAGAAACTCAAGGGATTTAGAAAGGAAACTTGGGCCACAGGTTACCTATCTCATCTTTAAAATGCAATTTTCTGGCCAAATTCTGATCATTATGGAAGCAGCAGCTGTTATTTTTAACTTTTGGTATAGCACTCTTGTTATGTTATGTTCCCAAAATTTCTTATCGTCACTCTTAAAATGAACTGTAAACTTCTCTTGATGAATGATAGGATAGCAAGCATGTCTTGTGAGGAATTTGCTTTATGGAATTCAGCCAATGTTATACATGAGTGATTTTTTGGGGGACCTGTTTGAACAGGTTTGTTTGGATGCCTAAAGATTTCAGGGAAATAAGAATTTTATTTGTCTTGGGCTTTCTATTCTGCTGGTTTAAAGAAACTAAGAAAAGCAAACCTAACTACTTAAATGTCCTGCTCAAGGAATGAGAATAAAGCAAAAAAAGCTTCATTTACTCATACAGCCACAAAAAGAGAGTACTCTTTAGTACCACATGTGAGTATCCACCTGCATTATTTGCTCCTGGAAACCGTATCAAATCTTGGAATAAATGTTGTCCCTCTCCCCATTGATATAAAAACTGAGCTCTATAATGCCGTTTATAACAATCTATAGTCTAATAGAAAGTGAGAGTTTATTTGTTAACCAAAATTTTTTGTGAATGCAGAATGATCTGTATAATTATTTCCAGACTGACAGAAAATATGTCAATTTTAATGATCCCTTGCAACTGTATAGCCAGAATTCCTCTGAATAATGAGGTATTTTGGTAGAAGTAACATAAGTTGCATTTTGGCAAGCCCAAACAGATCTCTGCCATCATGTTCCCAAGAGGACTGTTGTTGCTTTTCCTCAGTTCCTTTTAATCACTGTTAAATCACTATCAGCTATTTAGCTTTTTTTTCTGTCCTTTTTGTAAGGCTTATGCTAAGTTTTGATTTTATGAAATTCGTGGTCTTCTGAAAAAGAACAGATGGCTAGTTCATATTTTCTGCATCATAATTATATCTATTTTTGGTTCATTTGTTCATATCTTTGTTCTGACAAAGATGCTTATGACTTTGAAAATGTTGTTGGGAAATGTGTTCCATGCAATCTTCAACTTTCCTTTTCAGAGGGATACTCTTTGTATAAAAAATGTGCAAATTATTCTATGCCCAAATCATAATAAAGATCCAAGATTGAACATTTCCCTTTTTCAGAACATATGCAGACATAGACAGTATCAGGGAATGGAGCAAGGAAAGAAAGACTTTAGGGAAATTAGGTGACAGACAGGCTAGTGAAATATGCTGCATTGGGATACCAGCAGTGGGAGGAACGCTGGGAACACCTGAGTAAGTGGGTGGATGAAATTAGCCATGCTGCAATCATGTCCTTATTGATTAGATCTTTGGGGTGAGGAACAAAAGACACAAACCAGTACATTTGGCAATGGTAACAGATCAAGGGAGATTCAGTATTGAATGTGTCTCTTGTTCCCTTACTGCTTGGTCAGATGAAATCTGTTGTCAGTCTTAAATTGAGAGTTTCATCTTTGGAAGACACCAAGGTCTGTAACAAATAGGTTTCACATAGAACAGTTGCTAGATGCCAATGTAGAAGGCAGGTATCCTATTTTGGCTGACAGTGACCTTGTCTCTCAAGCAATTACCATCAGAGATCTTTGTTCCAGTATTCATTCTGGAATTAACTGCATTACTATATGCTACCAAAAAAATGCCAATAAACTATTACTGTGAAGTCTAGACTGAAATTCTCAAACAGCTATAGCATTCCTATGTATATCCTTTTTTCTTACTAGAAATCTAAATCTTAATTTCAACTTTCTGGTGAAAGGTCAGGGAGATAGCTGTCAGGAAACCTGTTCTGTATCAGGTATCTAAAGGCACTAACAACTTCTCAGTATGGAATATATTCATTGAGTATCAGTTCTGAGAAGAGATGGTTCAGTTCAGTTCTAGTAAATATCAGACATCTATCCTAGGATTGCAGTAGATCTGGTAGCTTTTTTGTTGTCATGCATGGCTTCACTTTTCAAAATTAGTTGAGGTGATTATTTTTTCCATGTAAAGATAGCTAAAGTTGATCATGTAATACCACTCAGCATATAGATCTTGGTCTATATTGCCTAGTTTACTCAAGATTTCATCTTTAGAACTGTGGTGCTTCTTTTCTGCAATCTTTCTTGTGTAGTTTAGTTCTGTCAGAGGCAATGGCTACAGTATTTTTGCTCTGGACAGTTTTTTCTGGTTCTGACTGCAATTCCAAGGATACTAGTGTACCTCTTGCTTTCACAGGAGGGCCAGAGACCATGTTTGGCATTATTTTGATTATCACACACTTAGGCTGATTGCTTTTCATTTCAATCATCATGTACAGTTTTTTCTTCCACCTTTTGGAGGTTGTTGTTGTTGTTATTATTATTATGCATTAGTAAATTTTCATAATCAAAGAAGGATGTGCCTTAGAATTCCAAATATTAAAATAGTGCTTAAGAATTTAGGATGAAAATCAAGATTTCTTCTGCTTTATGTTAATTGAGTGTTTACTTCTAAGTGCTGCCAAGCTGTTCATTATTCGTACAAATAAAGGCAATAAGATCAGTTGGTAACCTATAAACACAGGTTTAATTATAAAAATGCACTGGTAAGTAGATACATATACCTTAAAACATAATAAGAATTTAGTAGGAGACATTGAAGCAGGTATATGCTATTACATATGACAAGACATTTTGAGCACAAAGTGCAATTTACCCATTTTTTTTTCTCTCTATGCAGAAAAACAGAAGTTGCTTTTCACTATAAAGTTGTAATAAATAAAAAAAAACACTCTGAAATGGCTTTGTATGCCATTTCACTGGCTTTAACAAAGACTAACCTCCTTGATAACAGCATCTAAAGGGCAAAAAGATTAATCTCGTAAGCAGTATTTAGAAGCATATTGGGTATCTTGTGTAATAAAGAGGGAAAGCAATAATAGGATTTGTCTAATATAGTTGCATTCTTTGCTTCTGAGCAACATCAGGGAGGGGGATAGGTTGCAGTTCCTGGACTGTCTTTAATTTGGGTTCAATAATCACCAACAATGTGCTGGAGCCAGCTCATAGCAGGTGGTGAGAACGAATTCTTAAATTTTCAGGAATTTTGGTTGCTGGTTGAAACAAAGGTGAGCTGTGATGCCCGTTGTGCGGATCAGCTGTTCTGTGACTAGTAATAAGGAGGTGGCACTTTTGCTGGCAGAGTTCTTAAACACTTACTGGCACACAACTGATTAGCACCATATTTTAAAATATGATTCCCAGTCAGTTGTCCTCGGCTGACAATTGAATCTCAGCTTCCTTACGGCAACATACGAAAGTAAGCTTTTTGCCAACAGTGTGCATTCATTTACTTCTTCCTTCACAGAATGACCAAATAAAACAGAAACCTTCTTGTTTAACTATGGACCCTTAACTAATTCAGACTGAAACTTAACCATAGCTTGAATTCAGTTTATCTCTGTTTCCCAGAGAAAGAAAAACTACATGCTGAACTAGAAGCTTTCTGTTTTGTTTGTGCTATGGAGACAGCAAAGGGGTTTCATAGCCAAAAGGTTGATTTATATCTTAGTTTACTTTCCAGCTTATTTTTCTTCATTAATCCATTTGAAATTTAGAAGCTAAAAATATTCCTTGAGGTTTGTTCAGGCTCCTTGGTTAGATACAAACATGCAGATATCTGGCACATTGTCAAATATCAGAACATCTCTAATTGAGCTGACAGCAAAAAAAAAAAAATAGTACCAGACTTTTATATGTCCCATTTCTTCTTGGTCTTAATAAATGCACCGTGATGAAACATAAATTGCTGCATACAGTGGTTTTAATTTCTAATTGGCAGAGTTTTTTTTTTTTTTCCTTTTACAGGAGGAGTTAAGCTTGGCTTAGGAGATTTCATTTTCTACAGTGTTCTAGTTGGCAAAGCTTCAGCAACAGCCAGTGGAGACTGGAACACAACTTTAGCCTGTTTTGTAGCCATTTTAATTGTGAGTATATTTCCCCTTCCCTTTCTTGTTGATGCCATTAGTAGTTAAATTGTGTAATAATGCTCTTCCTTAGGAATTGTTTAAACGTGTCAGCTGGACATCTTCAGGGGGGTTTTTTCTTGCAGGTTTTTCTTTCTGTTTTTTGATTATATAGTATTTCCAGCATGGATATCCAATAATTCCTCCCATTCCCTCTGAAACTTGATAGATGGATAATAGTTCTTGTATTTTATCTCCACTTTCACAAGAAAAAGGGAAGTAAAATCCTTGCCAGGTCTGATTAGAAAAATACCATTCTCTAATAAGAGGTTGTAGAAAAAGTTCAGCCTCTCAGAGAAGCATCCATCTAGAGTAGGGGTAGGCAACCTTGGCTCTTTTATGACTCGTGGACTTCAATGCTGGCTCAGGAATTCTGGGAGTTGAAGTCCACGAGTCATAAAAGAGCCAAGGTTGCCTACCTCTGATCTAGAGAGATTGCTAGTAGTTGGATTGCAATGATGCCCAGACTTGAAGGTGAAAATCAGAACTCTAACTCAGAGAAGGAGGGATGAGAGAAAGAAAGCTTTCCTTTCTCATTCTTTTCAAAAGCAAAGTCACCAGAACACACCTACGTGCAATCCTTCAGGCTGTTCACCATACAAGACCTCCCAGTGAGACAGAATTGTGGAACCTGGAACAATGTACTCGATACTCAGAGTTGGTCATAAGCTTTTAAATATTGTCAGTTATTTCTGTCAGGAATTTCTTGAAAGACATTTGGGAATAACAAGTTTGGACAGATTTTTTTTATGTGTGTCTTTCTTAATATTCTAGCTTGAGATATTGGTATTTTCCTAATAAAGGAAGCCATAAAAAACTAGACACGTCAGTGGTGTGTAGGATGTGTAGGTTCCAAGGGAAAAGCACAAGAGTTCTATTTGCAGACACCATTCGCTTGAGAGGATGGATACCAGTAGCTAGGTGCTGTGCACTTGGAACTCCAAATTATTGTCAATAAAAATAGAATTTCATAGAAGGAGCCCAATATTCTGCATGGGATAGGCTATTCTACTCTTAATGAATATGTGGTTACTAGTTGTCAGCTTATAACAGAAATGTCTACATAAGGGGTGGTAAAAGAAGTCACAATGGTAACCCTCTGTCTTTTCAATATGAGTTGTATACATCACACCCATAACTATGCCCGCCATCTTGACATACATGCAGATGTTGCCTGGCTTATATATGATAGAAACTAACCGTCCATTTTTATAAAAGGTTTGGTGGGTTGCTCCTGATATTTAAAGTGCAGAGTCTTTTTTCCCCTTATCGGGGAATTTCTTACAGTGAATTTAGGCATCTCCGTCTTGTTGGTTGAAAAAAAAGTTTTCTGCCCACTAAAGAGTCCTGTCTCTCTTCATATCCCTAGTAAAACAGGCTCTACTATTCAGCACAGTGACAGAGGTGACAGAATGGGAATGTGGTTAAAAAATGTGCCTCAGTGGCAATTTATCCATCTTGATTTTCCCACCAAATTTATGAACAATCCTTGTTGGCAGTTAATTTATCTCTGAAGCACATCCAGAGTTGATTGCTGTCCCTGGAAGCAATCAACTATCTAATAGTTTGAGATAAGAGCTCTTCCAATTAACTTATGTGTTTCTCTCTCTCTCTCTCTCTCTCTCTTTTTTTTTTTTTTTTTTTTTTTTATCCCTAGGGCCTGTGCCTTACCCTCTTGCTACTTGCCATTTTTAAAAAGGCCTTACCAGCTCTTCCAATTTCTATCACTTTCGGGCTAGTTTTCTATTTTGCCACAGATAACTTGGTGCAGCCTTTTATGGACGAATTAGCTTACCATCAATTTTATATCTAGCACCTTTTCAGCTGATCACCTGTGGACATTTTATTGAATTTAGCAAATACAGGAGGGAGAAACTATCTTCCCGTCATTTCCTAAAACAGCTGCTATGCTGGGCATTACTGGATTCTTCTTTGTAAAAATGGTCTCTTCACCAGTGGGTTTTCTGCCATTTGACTGCAGTCAGTTACATCTCTTTAAAAGAACAGTCTGTAGAAAAGATGCCAATGCCTGGGGTTCCACTTTGCACCAATCAAGAATGCTGAGGGTTCATCCACTGTTAAGCGGTATGATGATTAATCAAGCTGAACTGCCTGATAAGTGAGTGTGATGCCATAACAGGAACTATCAGCGCTTGTAGCCTGAGGCCACTCGGAGAAGAGCAATTGGAACGAAAGAATATTATCTTGTTTAAAGGGAAAAATCAAGCAAATAACGTCTTGCACTTTTTGTTAGGTTTTTTTTTCTTTCCAATTTTAATTGTCATACTTGCAGAACAGTCTATATGCTCCTTGCCAGATCAACACAGAACACACACACAGATTCTTCTGCCCAAAAATTCTGGGAATTTGGGGTACAGTAGACATATCCTGGGATTCTTTGTGTAAAAACAAAATCTCATTTCTTATTAAGCTATGTAATCTATTTCTAGACATTTCCCCTTCCCTAAAATATGTTGAATATTCATTCAGCTTTCAAGAGAGTTTTATAATTTATTCCAACAAGGAGGTAAGAAACTAAAAACTATGAAACAGCAACAGAAAATTGCAATGAAATCTTGGGGCTTTTTTAAAAAAATAAAACAAAACCCGACTTCATCTTTTGTTCTGAATTTTTTTTATATATAATTCCTTGGGACCATTTTATAAGAAATGTATATATATATATATATATGCATATGTATTGCAATATAAAATTAAAAAAGAATGATACATACTATTAACTGTCTCCCTCCCAGACTGCAATAAAGCAATCTTGTTCGAATGAAAAATACATCTCAATTGAACATACATATGAATTTGTTGAATACATTCTATAATTATTAGAACCTAGCTTAGCCTTGCTCAAAAAAACACTCAGAAAAATTGTGGGGCGGGGGAGGTGGCGCAGGAGGAGTAACTTAATTTTACTGTACATGTATTTTCTGTTCAAAATATCATTCCAGAAATTTCCTAATGGGGATCTCTGTTGAATGTACCCCTTTATTCAAACACCCAAAACAACCGTCAGCAATGGGGTGCTTCCCTTGGAACCCCATTGTATATATTACCTTTCCTTATTCATCACATGTTGAAAATGTCATCTTTTAGGATTCAGAGGAAATTGGAGCATTTCTATATACCTGCCTAGCTTGTCCTAAACCACTGAATAGTATCCAGCTACCTATTACATTCAGTCAGTGAAATGAAATTTATCCCTACACACACACACACACACACAGTTATTATTTTGTTTATACTGATACTTGAGCGTCTTTCTTTGGTTTGTGAAGCTGAGATTGTAAATATATAAGACTACCAAAGAAGTCTGCCGAAGTCTGGTACTACTGTTGAGCTCATCCAAGCACTGTTATTGGCATTACAAGTCTGCAGTGCATCTGCTGATAGTTTTATTCCAGAGATCATTTGAACCTGATAATCATACAGGTCACTTGTTATCCACCAATCTAACACTTCAGTCTGCCATTACAGAAGTCAATATAAGCTTTCCATGAATTTCAAAGACCCTTTAAAAAAACATTTATAATAAAAGTAGGAGTCTTCACTGACTTACTGAGCCATTTTTAGATCCTAATTCTTAATGTATGAAAACTGGCCATTTCCCGAACATATTGTAATGTCTTCTTTGGAATTTCTAGAACATTTCCTGGGAATTTTTAATAACTGTATTTCCAACACTTTTGAAAGGCATCAGGTAGATTGTACAGGCATCTCTGGATTGCAACAACAGCATATACTGCAAACACAGGCTCCTGTGATAGAACACTTCTTTGTGCAAATTGTTCTTTATATTTAGGAAAGTAGTCATTTAGGGCAGAATTGCCTCTTCTGGGCACATTCATTTAAGTGAAGGAATGGAGTATTCTGCCTTCCAAGCCCACACATGTCGTATCAGATTTTGCAGATGAGAGTTTGAGAATTGAATCATGGTCATAAAACGTGTAATGATTCTACAGAAATATGAACATGCGTCTGCTTTACCCCAAATTACAAGAGCCAGTGGTTCTTAATGAACGTAATCAACAATTAAATACACCAAGTATTCTCTGTGGGTTTTGAGCATGCATCTAAGAAATGCAAACAGATTCAGAAAAAAAGCATGCTTGTTGCAAGATGTTAATTAGACTAGACTCAAAAGCAACCAGTTTGGAGATTTAGCAAGCATTAACTTGGTTATAAATAATTATGACTCAATTCTAAGCTTCCTGGAAATCAGTTTAACTCTAGGCAGCTATAACTTGAACACCCTTCAATACTTTCTGAAAAGTAAACTCAATATGGAGATACTGTGTTGATCAGGCCCATAAGAGTTGCTTTAAGAATCCCTTAATACAGGATAAGTTCTGTTACCATCAAATTGATTCTGATTGTTATGGACTATTTAACGGAAGCTTGCAAGTCAAAAAGTTTAAAAAGTTATAACATGAAAGTGAAATTCTTGTACTTTTTTTTTCATTAGGCTTTAGAGAGATTGTAAATGAAAACTAAGTTACTATCTATAGCAGAATTTGAAATGTCCTAATTTTCACTAATATTTGATGTGGTGTATTCAAATGCTAGTAATTACCTAACTTCTAAGGGCTGCAGTAAGCTGAAAAAGCAGAATATTTTAGTATAAAGCATAATTTGGATGTCTTCACAAGGGATGTCCCAGCTGAGATTCTATTGTACATGTTGCTGATGCAGCATGAAAAATATTACAGTACCATTAGGAAAAGATTTTTAGCAAGGATACTCGAAGGCAGATCACTTTAATTAATAAATTATTTTTGCAGTGATGCCTAAAGATCATCTACAAGAAATCCATAGCACACGAACCTGTACAGAGGGGTGATTTTGTCTAGTATAACATGTTTACAAGTAAGAATAATGGAAATGCAATAGAATTGGATTTTTAGTCCTTTTTATTTTAGTTTTTTGAGACACTGATTTATTGATTATATAAAATGAATGTGAATAAGCTTTTTAAAAATATCTTTTCAAGATATAATTTTGACAAGTTGTTGCTATTTACCTTGTATTTATCAATTATTAATAAATAACGCATGGATCCAATGTCTCTTTTATTCATTGTGCTGAACACTAGTAGAAATGTTGCTATTTCAGAAGGTTGATATAAATCAGGGGTCTTCAAACTTGGCCCTTTTATGACTTGTGGACTTCAACTCCCAGAATTCCTGGCTGAGGAATTCTGGGAGTTGAAGTCCACAAGTCATAAAAGGGCCAAGTTTGAAGACCCCTGATATAAAGTGTAAACATCTTATTATCCATATAAAAACACCCCACCTCAAATATATATAAAACACCATGCTCAATTTCTCCCCAGATCCCCAGATAACTGTGCACCTATATGTGTTGAGATATTTGCTTCAGTTCAGGTGGATTAAAGTAAAAAAACCCTTGCTAAGTTACCAATTGCAGTAATTCACTTAACTATAGTAAGAAAGGTCATAAAAATGGAGCAAAACTCATTTAACAACTGTCTTGCTTAGCAACATAAATTTTGGGCTTAATTATGGTCATAAGTCGAGGGCTACCTGTATTGTATTGCCAGCATTGAGAATTTTACTGCCCAAAGCCAAAATTTGAAGTTCTTTATTAAACTGTTTGGCCCCTCCAACAAACAAAATTTAATTGAAAGTTTGAAATCCTAACCATAACATCAATCACTCTAGAACGGCACATATGTAGAATCTGACTTAAAAATTTGCAGCTCAGAATCCAATTACAAATGTATTTATTATATCTTATCCCAGAGGAATCATTTCCTGCTCTTTACAAAATCCATTTATGAAAGCTGCTTCTTTAGAGGCTCTGACTTAACCCATTATTCTGAAATCACAAGAGACATAATTAAGACTGAAAGCTATTTGCACTGAACAACAAAAATAGATTTATTGGGACAAAACATATAGGTCATGATAAGAAATGCTTAATATAGACTCTTAAATATCAAGAAGTATGCTTACATGTTTCCTCATATAAATAAAGTCCTAATAAAAGTAATTTTGTTATTTATATAATATGGAGTGGTTTCAGACTAGGGCAAATTTATCCTCCGCATATTCTACCATAGAAGAAAGAATCCAAACAACTTCAGGATATAATCTTCCCCTTTGAGACCAAGAAAATTGCTTCTAAAGAATGAATGGAATTAACACTGTTCAGCAGTGTAACCCTATCCATGTTGACTCAAAAATAGACCTTTTGAAGTTTGTGTGACTTACATAAGTGTGTAGCAGCGCTAAGCCAACTTTTTCTTGTAGGGAGAATGGTATGTACCATATTGATTCTTGTAAGGAGAATGGTATGTACCATATTGATCATTTATGACCTGTACAAGAAAATTTGGAAAACTCAACAGTGGCCATAGGATTGGAAAAGGTCAGCTTACATTCCAATTCCAAAGAAAGGCAATGCCAAAGAATGTTCAAACTATCGCACCATTGCACTCTTTTCACATGCAAGTAAAGTTATGCTGAAAATCCTACAAGCTAGACTCCAGCAGTATGTGGATCAAGAACTTCCAGAAGTACAGTCAGGATTTCGAAGAGGCAGAGGAACTAGAGATCAAATTGCCAACATAACGCTGGATCATGGAGAAAGCTAGGGAGTTCCAGAAAAAACATCTACTTCTGCTTCATTGACTATGCTAAAGCCTTTGATTGTGTGGATCACAACAAATTGTGGCAAGTCTTAAAGAGATAGGAGTACTAGACCATCTTATTTGTCTCTTGAGAAACCTATATGCGGATCAAGAAGCAACAGTGAGAACTGGACACGGAACCACTGATTGGTTCAAAATTGGGAAAGGAGTCCGGCAAGGCTGTATTCTGTCGCCCTGCCTATTTAACTTATATGCAGAGTACATCATGAGAAAGGCAGGGCTAGATGAATCAAAAGTTGGAATTAAGATTGCCAGGAGAAATATCAACAACCTAAGATATGCAGATGATACCACTCTAATGGCAGAAAGTGAAGAGGAACTAAAGAGCCTCTTGATGCGGGTGAAGAAGGAGAGTGCAAAAGTTGGCTTGAAATGCAATATTAAGAAAACCAAGATCATGGCATCTGGCCCTCTCAATTCCTGACAAATAGATGGGGAGGAAATGGAGGTAGTGACAGATTTTATTTTCTTGGGCTGCAAGATCACCACAGATGGGAACTGCAGCCAAGAAATTAAAAGATGCTTACTCCTGGGGAGGAAAGCTATGGCAAATCTAGACAGCATACTATAAAGCAGAGACATCACCCTGCCAACAAAAGTACATATAGTCAAGGCCATGGTTTTCCCAGTTGCAATGTATGGCTGTGAAAGTTGGACCATAAGAAAGGCTGAGCGCCAAAGAATTGAGGCCTTTGAACTATGGTGTTGGAGAAGACTCTTGCGAGTCCCCTGGACTGCAAGGCAATCAAACCGGTCAGTCCTAGAGGAGATCAACTCTGACTGCTCTTTAGAAGGCCAGATCCTGAAGTTGAAACTCAAGTACTTTGGCCACCTAATGAGAAGGAAGGACTCACTGGAGAAGGGCCTAATGCTGGGAAAGATTGAGGGCAATAGAAGAAGGGGACGACAGAGAATAAGGTGGCTGGATGGAGTCACTGAAGCAGTAGGTGTGAGCTTAAATGGACTCCAGAAGACGGTAGAGGACAGAAAGGCCTGGAGGAACGTTGTCCATGGGGTTGCAATGGGTCGGACATGACTTCACAACTAACAACAACAAGAAGAAAATGATACCCTGATTTTTCAGGATAGTGATGAGGTACAGTACTGTCCAAAACTTGACATTATAGATTTGGAAAGTTTTTTTGCTAATTTGATTTCTTGAAATCCACACAACTGGATACCATGCTGAACATAGAACATAGAGTTGGAAGGGACCTTGGAGGTCTTCTTGTCCAATTCCCTACTCAAGCAGGAGACTCTATACCATTTCAGGCAAATAGTTGTCCAATCTCTTTTTGAAAACCCCCAGTGATAGAGCGCCCACAATTTCTGAAGGCAACCCATTCCACTGGTTGATTGCTCTAACCATTAGGAATTTTCTCCTTAATTCTTCTTCTTTCCTTGGTTAGTTTCCATACATTGTTTCTTGTGTTGCCTTTTGGTGCTTTGGAAAATTTGATCATACATTGTTTCTTGTGTTGCCTTTTGGTGCTTTGGAAAATTTCCAATATTTAAGGGGTAGGAGCCCCTTAAATATTGGAACAGTGCTATCTTGTCACCCCTAGTCCTTTTCATTAGACTAAGGGTGTCAAACTCGCTGCATCACGTGACGTGTCATGAGTATCACAACTTTTTTTGCACTGCTGGAGCTGGGGTGGGCGCGGCCTCCATATGATGCAATCGGCCAGCAGTTTGACACCCCTGTACTAGACATACTCAATTCCTGTAAACGTTCTTCATATGTTTTAGCCTCCAGTATCCTAATCATTCTTGTTGCTCTTCTCTGCATTCTTTCCAGAATCTCAACATCTTTTTTATATTGTGGTGACCAGAACTGGATGCAGTATTTCAAGTCTGGTCTTACTAAGGCTTTGTAAAGTAGTACTGAAAACACACATTGGTTGGATGACTAAAGCAACTTTTCTGTTGTGATGTTTCAGTTTTGTGTTACCAAAGAATGTACATAAATTGATTGAAATTGTATCTTTTGTGGTTATAAATATTGTTTCTATGTGTCCAATTCTGCCTGGACAAGACAGACAAAAATTTTTACCATCATTTTTTTCTTATATGTTTTGTCACTCTAGCATTTTCAAATTATACTGGTTTTGAGATTTCTCTCTCTCTCTCTCTCTCTCTCTCTCTCTCTCTCACACACACACACACACACATACACGTATACTTACAATTTACATATTTAATTAATAAATCGGATTAAAAGTTGTAAAGTATTTTCATTTGCTGGATTTCTATAGAAAAAACATGGTGCATTTTCTGATTTAAGCGCAAAAATAATGCTTTGACTCCATAAATACATCATCTTACTATGTAGTAACTCTTGGCAAGAAAAACCAATAGCTGCACTTTTGTGTGACTTAAATCAAGCTTAATTGTAAATAAGTTATCTTCCTCCAAATAAGTATCTTCTTTAAAGAGAAAGCACTCACTAAACACACTTTTAGCTAGTTTTCACATTCTACTTAAGAAGCAGCTGGAAATGGTTTGTTACTAAGTAAAATGCATCAAGTGAGCAAATTAAAAATCTTTCTCTGACAGAATCATAGAGTTGGAAGGGCTATTTAGGCCACGGGTCTTCAAACTTGGCCGTTTTATGACTTGTGGACTTCAACTCCCAGAATTCCTCAACCAGCGTGCTTGGCTGAGGAATTCTGGGAGTTGAAATCCACAAGTCATAAAAGGGCCAAGTTTGAAGACCCCTGATTTAGACCATCAAGTTTAACTCTTGCTTAGTTCTGGGATTCCAGTTAAAGCAAACCCAATAGCCTCTGCCAGAACACTTTTATTGAAACGGAGTCCACACGTGCTTCGCTTGACCATTTCTAGTTGTACTGTATGCTAAGCATTGCACATTCAACTTATCTATTTTTAATGTCGATTGAGGTAATTTAATTTCCTTCTTATCCTACAAGGGAACATCCTAAGAGCTAACTATCTCTGTAAAACACTATTCAGTAATCAAATGAACCAATCGCTAGTTAGAAAGTCCCAGGAAGAATTAAAACATGTTTTGCTGCCCTAGTGTTTTTATTTCTGCTCTTCTCAGCATTTCTTTCCAAACTTAAGGTAATTATGGACTAAAACATTCATACGGAACATCAAATAAAAACCAGTGGAGAATATATGACGCCTTGTTTGACATGAGCTATAAAGCTGTAATTCTCAGGTACTGAATTCCCAGATTCTATGAGCTATATCAGTGTATAGTCACGAACTATCTAAATTATTTTAAGAGCAAAACTGGACTGTTGTCATAGCAACAGCCAATCCTTTTTATCTCACTTCCTGCAATGCCATCTTGGATAATGCACTTTGGAGTCATGTGGGCACTGGTAGGCTGAGTGAAAGGCAAGTCAGCTGTTTGATGAAA